ATAGTGAGTAGTATTGTGCTTTGTCATGCATCAATGCTGTGACAACAACCGAAGCAGCAAGTCTAGATGGTATATTGATAACATTGAGGAGCATTATTACTATTAATGTTATTATAATTATTATTCGTCTTTAGGTCAGAGTTAACACCGAAGCGATAAACAAGTATCCACGTTTACACCATAAAGTTTTTAGTATCGGTATGCGAAAACTTTGATCCAGGAATTTAACTGGCTTTCACTATTGTTTTGCAATCATAATTTGAACCCCACCAGTAATGGTTCACTTCGACATTCGGTGTATTCACCGATCGATTCTGTTTGAATCTCGAAAATGACTCAATACTTTTCGATTCTTTCATCTTCCAGCAGAGGAATACTGTACTGTTTAAAGTGATCTCTCAAATACCGCACACATCAATCCTGATACTCAGACCGTCATTTGTTGTCAACAAACAGCTGTTCCAGAGAATTCACTATTACCAGCGTGCTGCGATAAACAGTTATATAAACCAACACACTGGCTTCAATGGTTCACTGCTATCTCAATAACGTCGATAGAAACATATAGCAGTGAATGGCGATTTGCGGTCAAATTGATGCTTGGCTAATAATCGGAGACATAGGCATCGAAATCTCTCGCAATATTGTAAAGTTCACTTCTTCGACGTGTTCTGTTTTGGACGAATTCACATATGAAATGTTACAACTTTAATCACCACAAAAAGCCGTGCTTCAGTAATGAAACTGTCCATCACAAATAAAACTAATGTACTCAATTCACTATCGGACCCTTCAAAGTTTACCCGCACCTAATGAGTGCAAACCCTCAATTGATATTCTTTCAAAACAAAAATGAGTTTGTTTATCGATTCGTTTTACCACAGTGAACCATACGTGTCCGCAGACCGATGCAATGGGTTAATGGATAAGAGCGAACCTTACTGCGGTAGCCGTGTTCTAGATGGGAATTTATGATTGAACTACAATGTCCTTGGAAGCAAGCACTTTGATATTCACCGATACCGATCGATCAACACTGATTAATACGGACCACATTGAGCGAAACATGATCGCTGGAAATAAAACCTAGGTACTGAGCTTTTTTAGGTGAATGCATCGCTGGATTGAGTTTGGGTTTCGTTTAATCAGTCACACACAGAAGCTTGATTACCCATATTTGATGCCACCTGTGGCTATACACATAGGAAACGATGGACTCAATGAACTCATTTATCTTGATTTTATTTTTGGCGGCAGACAGAACTGACTTTGTGCAAACCGTCTCCAATGGAACATTGTAGTTAGATTTAAAATTTGAAATATTAATACAGTTTAGATAGATGGGTTCACCATTCGATGTTAATTTGTAAATCCTCCATGAAACGCATTACGGGATTAACATAGCTGGTCTCTAGTTATAGACTCAGTGCAAAAAAAACTTCGAAAATGAATAACAATTTTATGATGAATTCGCCGTGTAAATGAAACATAAACCGAAAAGCTGGGAAGCACTGGATAATTGCTTAGGCCTCATCAGCACTGCGAATCCATCGACCCAACAAGGAATCGAAACCTCGACCTAATACCTAGGATGCAAACATTCCACTTCGCCTGTTCGCCGAGTTTGACAATTTGTTGCAATCGTTTCATCACCAGCCGAGGTGGCATCATCAGTGCTTGTGAGTGGCAGCCATTTCAGGCGAAATGGAATTCACTTCAATCGAGCTACGAGAACCAGTTTTCAACATTTTGTCAACAGAATGCAAACATACCACTCAATCGGAAACCGGGCAGCTGATCAGACCGTTTCTTGTTATGGATGAACACGATATAGCATAGACCATCTTTGCGAACTTGCTGCGGGCACTGCGCCTCGCTCATCTCAACACTAGCCTCCGGGGTCGTGGCTCTGTTGGAAACTTTCACAAACTGACGAATTCCTTTCATTTAAAGATGGTTATATATATATATATATATATATATATTGTCTGAGGCCGGACTGGGTGGCAAGCAAATTGTGGTACAATAATCTTTATAAACAAGAAAAACGTGCCATGATAGGCTTGTGGGCTGAATACTACAAGGTTGCTCGGGCCAAAGCAGGTGAATTTTCTTAAGGAATCCACAACCAAAGCCTTCGGCTAGCCAAAGCCTAACCCGCAAGGCAGCGGGGCGATGTGAGAAAACCGCAATCAATTGGGAGCCGGTGTCCAGTTCATCGGATCATACGTCCGAGGTGCCCAATACACCTCGATGCCCATTTGAGTTGATGACCAATGCCACAACCGAAAGGGTGTGGGTGTGGTGGTACGCCTCTTCATGATTAGTTTAGAATCAGAGTTTTTGGTCAACTCTCCTAGGTGAACTACCAGTGGTCCACCAACCCGGTTATAGCCCCGGATGTCGGCTTTTCGTCCTCTCACTTCGGTGCGAAAACACCGCCACGAGAAGGCAGTGAGTAGGGCTTCTTCAGCAGAGGTTATTCGAGACGCTTGGTCGTATGGGAGTATCTCGCGAGGTGCAAGGGAAGGGTGACCAGCCAAAACCCTAGACACCCACCGCCGACCATACTGAGTCATGATCAGATGTCATTACACCCTTTGGCACGTTTGTATTTTCCTTCTTTTGCAGATTGCCGGCTAATCCTCTCCACAGAAAACCTTGTCTTTTGATGATTTCAGACCACACGAGAATAGACTTACATCTGATTGTCTCATGCATCCATTCAAGGGGGCATTCTGCCGCAAACTCGAGTCAAAGCGCATTACAATATTCCAGATAGATCTCGTGAGATCTACCTGTCAGCGTGAAATCAGTAAGGTTCTTTAGTCTAGGGATGGCTTGAATTTTTACCTAAGATTCCGGGTTCTATTTTGACTGGGTTGCTGGATTCGCATTCATGATGAGCACCAGGAATGTTGGGACAACTACACAGTATCTCCCAGCTTTTGAGTTAGTTTCCCCATATACACCAACCACGGGGTGTTTTCATCAGAACTTGCAATCCTAAAATAATGGAGCGACAATCAAAAACAAAACACAGCATTTCTGGGAAGTAATCACTACTTGATTTCAGTGCTAAAGTGTGTTCAGAAATCAGAATGCGGGCCATCAGATGCTGGGGCTTGATTGCCACCAGGCGACAAGGTGGAGTTGCTTCTTCTAAAGACCAAGATAACTTTGGTACGTCAAGCGCCACAATACAATGAGTTACGAGTTTTTTCTTACTAATCGCTCTGCCGAACAAACTAACTAAATCAGCTTCGAAGGCTGACATTTGTGGTCAATTTGGTTTTCTCGATGTCTGATAGCTTATAGCCTAAGAGTTGAGTGCAACTCCTAACCGGATTGATAACAAAAAAATATTTACGGTAAAAGTTTATATGCACGAGTATAATTGCATACATACAGTGTGGCAATAGTACTGGTGACGATGGTGGTGGTTGTAGTGGCGATAGTCAACTCAGAAGAAGGCACCAATTGACTCTCCTGGTTCAAACTAAGAGTGATCAATATTGTACAACAGTAGCCTCGCAATAAACGCGAACGCAAACAGCGATAGAATGCATTCATGCGCACAGATGCGCATGAGTGGGTGGATGTTCACACTCCTATATACAACTGCGCTATAAGACAGTCACCTGATAGAAACGCTACATAGTCTGAGGGTATTGGAATTGTGGAACCAATAAAAACGTCGAGGGACGGTCCACATGAGCATGAGACGGTGATTGTAGCGGCGTTGGTCGTGATGGTTAGGATGGTGGCGTTAGTGTTGCTCTGGCCCAGCTGCAATAAGGACGTACACATCTGTACAGTATGCGGGCTCTGGCCAGATCCTAGGGAATCGGAAGGATGACAGACCAGAGAGCATATACGCGCAAAAACACCTAAGTAGCAGCTGTAATTTCTAGATGGCGTAAACAACACAAAGAAACTGGAGGTCCACGAGCCAGTACGCATAAGAAGAATGTGACTTGATGGCTGAAAGTGAATTGAAACAGCAAGGACTGAGTGAATACGGGGATGAGGCTGGGGTTTGTTTTGGTGAGAGGCTGAGTTCAGAGGAATTCAAAACTGATTGAGATTTCAACTAAAAGAAAAATGACGCGCAAAAAAGAACGAATTGGGTTTCCAATGAAAAGGAAACAAATGGGTTTAGCACAGAAATTTCAAAATGAGAAGCTACAGGAAATAAGTCAGGTGGGTAGGTGGGTGAATGGAGGATTGGACAGCACTGCGCGTGATAGGAGAACGATAGCGAAAGAAAGATCAGTGCATCGATGGAGAACGAGGTAAATCGAAACGCAAAACAAAAGATAATGATATTATCACAAAATAATAATTCCAATCAATCAACATGAATAAATGAAAAACGGAAAGAAATCATAAAACGGCATCAGCGTCGGACGAAAGACGGAATAGTAATTTGCTCATATTGCACAAAACACGGGATGCCTTAGTGTGTTTTGGTAGTTGAGTATGTGCGTGTACCGGGGGTGTAAAAGAAACCCGGAATACGACGTGGCTGAGTACCGATCACTGAGTAGTTGAAGGGAGTCTTGTGAATACATTTTCGTGGGTTTATAGGGTAATATACAATAATGAATAACTATGTAAGTATTCTTAAAGAAAGTTGGACAAGCAAGTTTTGTGCGGGCATATTCGTCGAAAGGCGCATAAATAGGGGCTTGTTACACAATGGAAGCCCTTGAGGTAAATTGAGAACACCTTGGATTCAGAACGAGCATATGCACCACGGCATATGGCTGAATCGTTTGCGGAAGTGAGCGCATTCGAGAAGCGCCTTTCAGTGGTGTCATTTATAAGCGCAGAAACCTCACCCGGCAAATAAATGTACATGAATGTACAAGGAACCTTCGTCTGCTGTATCACTTGCAATCGATCGTTTGGATAGCGACCCGCAGCTAATAAAGTTCAAATTGCTTTAATCCAATTGAAGTATACGATATGAAAACCGCACCAAGTATCCGCCGGGTTCATGGGGCAATACGTCTTGCAGATACTGGACTCGGGGCAACTGACAACGGTGGGCTAGAGGTTCTAAGTGGTGGGCTAGCATCTGGTAGATTTTTCACCGTCCCAAGTCGACGTGGAGCGCTGTCAAGACCCAAGTGATGATTTTCACCAGAAGATGAACAAGCAGGTTTACCTGGATGCCTATGTGTGACTCGCTTTTGGTGCTCCGAAGAGCCGGTCTCGGCGAGTTTCGGGGAGAAATCCACAGCGACTGTGGGTGACCGTTCCATGACGCCGAGAGTGCCATAGGCCAGTCTGGAACCGGAATTACCTGATGACAAGGAGTTCCGACGAACAGAACCGGGGAAATTGTGTGAGTTGCTAACCGAATCACCTACACGAGCCTGAGTAGAATTACTCGAAGTGGAATTTGAAATTGCAACAGCTGTCGGTGGTGATGGAACAGGGACATAAGTGGCCAGACTTAAAGGGGCAGGAAATGACGCGGCCAATTCCTGTTCTGCTGGTTTTCTCATCGAGGAAGCTCCGCTACTAGGGGCTGCTACCTTCGTGATGACGGGAAGAGTGCTTGCACCAGGTAACCTCTGATTTGTTGTGGAACTTTGAGGTTGAATTCGCCGCGGCTCCGCTACCGTAGAGGATGTCGTAGTTACTGTCGGTCCCTCTCGGCGTTGTTGACCTGGACGAGATTCATGAAGGGTGACTGGGAGTGGTGAAGCAACAGTAGGTCGGCGTATGCTGGAAATAACAGCGCCACTATCGGTAGATCGACCGGCAACATCAGACAGAGGTACATTTGTTAAAGCTGCTGCAGGAAGCCCCACAGTACCGACCGCAGCATATGGTGTGGGAGGAGTGTTCGTTCGCAGGAAGTCCACAACATTCGGATGTGAAGCGAGTCGCTCAAAATATGGTATCAAGTCTAGAAGTGCCCGGTCGTTCGCATCGTCAAACCATGACGAAATTTGCACCTGAAATAAAAAAGACATTTGTAGATAATACCACATTTTCAACAACCATCGGATCCCGCCAATCACACGTCATAAGCGTTAGTTCGATTCTCATTGTCCTCAATAACGGGCACTACACAGCCTCGCAGTACCGCAAGCCATTTAATACATATATATATATATATATATATATATATATAGAGAGAGAGAGAGAGAGAGAGAGAGATAAACCTATCTCCCCGTCTTAGAAAGCCTGAATAACAATTCACTTTCCGTGTTATTGAATTAGTTAATCAACCGTAATAATCAAACTATGCATTAGTTTCACCCTTGCATTTTTTTATTACACACATATTTGTGTGATGAACAGGACCGCGTGGCGAACCACGTTAAGCCCCACTAAGATAGGCGTAACATTGAACCGGACGACAGCAAACCTATTTACCACCAAAGTTGGGTGGCGGGGTTCAAACATAAAGCACACTAGTGACAGACTAAACCACTAGGCCACTACCGTTCAGTTTAATGCGCTTTTTACTGAGTACGTCACTGTTTACTTTACTTCACTTCACTTTACTTTACTTCACTGTTTGATACGGCTTTCTTCGTACGTTTTGCTATAGTGAAGAATTGTTGATTGCACATTCGAAAACTTGAAATGAAACCAACTTTTCCATACGTATTTGGCTTGTCAATCTATCGTTTTCATCAGACCTTTAGGTTGATGCCACAGTGTACTGCATGAGAAACCTTTCAAGAATAAATTACCGATTTCAATGAACAGTACGAGTGTCAAAACAGTCGGCATGGAGGTGTCGGTGAGCAAATGGAAAACCGTTCCACTCGGAAACTCACAGCATGACTCGCATGAAACATATAGGAGGCCGGTGAATTGTCTAATATCACAACCTGGTTGATGGGACGACCCAAGTGGCTGAGATCTTTGACATAATTGCCGCGGTGGTAAACACAGGACTCGCGAAACAGACGATAGCGAAATGCGTTCCATTTGTCGATGAAGTCAGCAACGGGATCGGCGTACTGCGGAAAAACGACAGAAATACGTTATTGAGCAAAAAAATAGAGTCTGACGAACTAAGCTTTGAAGTTCAGTTTGAGCAACCATTAACCATGCACCTTTGTGCAGCCATTTTCTATGTACGAATTTACTAAAAAAAATGATCAGATAAGCACGAATAGCGAGGATGAAACTCATCAATAAAATCACCATTGTATGAATAACAACAGTCAACGTCCAATATCAGAGACGAATGGACGCTTCATCGGTGTAGACGTGAGACGAACAGCTCTGATAACCTTGTGATAACGTGAAGACTTTCGGACTTTTATGTAAGGATAAAAATAGTAGCAGTTCAGTGGATATGCACCGCTGATGATTNGGACAAACATGGAATAGCTGTGCCTCGAATGATTTTCGTCGGAAGAAATAGGGGAATAGCATAGATCGAAACATAGCCACTGTAATGTTAACTAGGTAGAGTAGTTGAACCTTCTAATTTCCTATCCACATTTCAATAAGAAAACAGGGGAAAGGAACAAGCGAATAATTTGAAACGATGGTTCTTCAAGAATCATGTACTTTAGATGTACACAAATAGTATAAAAATACTTCCTTCTGGAAATTGTAAAAAACGATACTAATCACGAGATGAATTTTTAATGTAACGGACGTGGTAGTGGACACAGATCAAAAACGGTTTGAATTAAAACGTGGGGAATAAGAAGACCTTGAACAATGGACTTTCTGTAGCACACCCTTGCA